CTCTCCCAGCAAGCCGTGGGACCAAGGCAGGGTACCCCCTGGATGGGACGCCAGTCTATTACACACACATGGACACACACACACACACACGGACACGGGCACGGACACGTTAACATTCACACCAGGGCCAGTTTTCCCAGAGGCCCATTAAGCCTACCAGCGTGTCTTTGGACCGTGGGAGGAACCCGTGGGGTGTATACACACACACGACCAAGAATGGAAAATGACGCCGTCAGTACCAGCCAGCCGCTAAAGCTCAACATTATCCAGGCACCTTTCCGATCTGAACCCCCCGCGCAAAAAAAAAATCAACTCGCCACTCAAACGCACAAGTATAACGTTACATTAGAAATGCTCTCTAGGCGACGTGGAAAGCGGCACTAACGGCGCGCTAAGAAGTGACCGCAAAAGCAAACTGTTGAATCGCTTTTTCAGTGGAGTATTGCGCCCTCTCCCGGTGGACAGGCAGAACACGCCTAAAAAAGGAATACGAATGGAAGAAAAGAGAGGAAATTAAAGCATTGTTCTTCCGAGTCTAATTGGCTTGACTGTATAATACGTCGTGCTAGTGCATTTCGCTATGCGACTGTAAAATTGCAGATTGAGTTCGATATACAGTATGAGAAGCAGCCACTTACGTCCCCCTGCATAATTTGGAGAATAGCGACGTAAACTCCGCAGAGGAGACGGACGGGTCCATTGTATTTCTTCTTTTCAAGAAAAAATGGGATAATGGTTGAGTTATGTGGGCTTTTTTTTTTTAAAGAGAACTTAAGTTTGCGAGTCGTTTCGCCCGCCGTCGCCGCGAACACGCAGCTGCGCGCGAGTCGGTTAATTACAAGCCGCAGACTCGCGCTCCTCGCCAAGTTGTAAATTGCCGTCGCCTTAGCAACGGCTCCTCGTGGCAAAGAGCGCTCGTACCTGGGGTGAAGACTTTTCTAATTTGAGATGAACGGGGTATGCATTTGCTTAAATTATCCACTTTAGCTGCATTCACGGGCGGAAAACATCCCTCCTTGAGACGAGGAATGTCAGGAATAATGAGAAAGATGTTGTTTCTTTGTGCAGTAACATATGTTTCAATGACTCGTGTTATTTTTTTTTTTTATTGAAAACAACCACGTCACGCCGGAGCGCTACACATTCATTCCGAGAATGTTATATATAGCGGCCCGGTGTGTTATTCAGAGACTCGCTTTGCGGTGAAACACACAATGCTTGACAAAATAACAAGTTATTGACTCAATATTCCATTTAGTGCAGCAGTGACTGGGGGGATAACTGCTCGCACAGTCAGGCCAGGTCTATTTCTGTGCACGCAAGCTGAATGAACGTTTTCAGGGCTTTTATTTCTGAATGCTCCGCTGTTTGGCGCCAGTGTGCGGTGTATTCAATGTCTGCTCTGCGGGGGGTGGGGCTGCTCAATTTAGTCAATCAGTTGGACTGGAACTGAAAATGGAAAATGCAATATTGCTTCGCCATCCATCCATCCATCATTTTGTATCCAATTCGGGGTCGCTGGGCAGCCAGAGCAGATCCTGGCAAGCAAGAGGCACGAGGCAGGGCAGAGCCTAGACATCCCTCACAGCAGGGCCAACTCTCCCCAGACACCAATGAACCCATCACCACGTCTTTGGACTGTGGCAGGGAACCAGAGCACCTGAAGGAAGCCCAGGAGAACTCAGGGGAACATGCAGACTCCACACAGACAGCACCCCAGCTGCAGAATTGAACCCGGGGCTGCGCGGCACAGCCACTCAAATACCAATGCCCGATACCCAAACTACCAACGAGGCGACAAGAGGGCTCTTGTTTGTCTTATCTACTGCGGTCGTCGGGCCGTGTTAACACCCATCCGTTTCTGGATCAGGTGAAGCCCGCTCCCATCCGATCCCGGAAGCTCGGCAGGCCAGGGTCTGGTCAGTCCTGGGAGACCTGCGAGACCCCCAGAGGAAACCAGGGTGCTGCAGTAAGTGGTGGTATTGGTGGACCAGTAGGGGGGTGCTGTCCCCTCCGCACCAGTAGCCCCAGTATGGTGACTGGAGACCACTGTGCTGCAGGAGGCGCCCTCCTTCAGCTCCTAAAGCAAGGAGCTGGCGGCTTGGTCACTAAAGATCGGCCACACTGTCCGCAGGAGTCGGGGGGTGGCCTCCCATTCCTGACCAGCCAATCTGCAGCGTCCTGGCAACTGGGGTGAATCTCCTCCTGTGTGCAAGGCACCCTGGGGGTCCCTCAGTGTGACAAGGGCTTTATGAGCGCAAGGGAATTGTCCCCGGTCAACAACGCTTCAAGACGGAATGTAGGATACAGTATATTCCAAGAAAGGACACGCAAGCAAACGACCCAAATCTCATTTGTCTGCTGCAGCCCACAGAAACGCTCTTGTCTGAAAACGGTTTCTGCTTCACAGACACATCTGTCAGATACGCCTGCCAGGCTGTATGAGGACAAGGGTTGCCAATACGTCCTTGATCCTTCAGAGATATTGAACTTTGCACCGGAAGGAAGCACGTCAAGGATGAATAATGCAGGCCTATAAAATGACTTTTCAGAGGTCAGGAGGATAATTATCAAAGTGGTATCAGCCACACTTACTGTCTTAAAATGTTTTTTTTCCCCCTTCGGAATTCTCCAATGCTGCATCAAGCAAATAAAATGGATAGGCAAAGGAGATATTGTAGAAGAAGAAGAATGTTTTCTTATATGATGTACAGTGATGAAGGGAGGCACTGTGGTCCAATGGCTAGCATTGCTGTCCTGCAGCACTGCGGACCTGGGTTCACTTCTGGACCTGGGGTGCTGTCCGTGTGGAGTCTGCATGTTCTGCCTGTGTTTGTGTGGGTTTCCCTCCAGGTGCTCTGGTTTCCTCCCACAATCCGAAGACACACTGGTTGGTTAATTGGCTTCTGGGAACGTCAGTCCTGGTGTGAGTGTGTGGGGCTGGTGCCCTGTCCAGGGTGTGTGAGTATGTGTGTGTCCTGTGATGGACTGGTGTCCTGTCCAGGGTGTGTGAGTGTGTGTGTCCTGTGATGGACTGCTGTCCTGTCCAGGGTGTGTGAGTGTGTGTGTCCTGTGATGAACTGGTGCCCTGTCCAGGGTGCACCCTGCCTCGTGCCCATTGCTTCCTGGGATAGGCTCCAGCTCCCCAGCCATCCTGAATAGGAAGAAGCAGTAGGGACCTGGGTGGACGGGCAATGTTAACAACCCATAACAGATCACTTCCAGGCGTCTTTATGTGACTGGGCTGGCCCGCTCAAGATCCCTGTGAACCGAGCGGGTTTGAAGGACAGATGCAATTGGCAACACTACGCATCTTCTCCAGGAATTTACTGGTTTTGCCCTCAAATCTGCAGGATCTATATTTACATAAGAATGTTGAACAGTTACAAACGAGAGGCACTTCAGTCCAGCAGCACAGTTCAAATTAAGAGCCTGCTCCCACCTCTCTGCCCGGAGATTCTTGCCTTATCTTTACTGTAGCTCACGCCGAACTCACTACACAATTAATCTCTCTGCAACAGAACTGTTGCCTTTTCCTGTAGAACCAAACTGTAGCACCTACACAGTGATTTCAGGGGCAGGAGCATTGTAATGACAGAACAGAAGGCTGTTTTCTGCTTGACAGATTTCCCGTGTCCATATGGAGAGGTCCTCAGACGATGCTGTTTTGGAGAGTCTGGAACACTGACATCTCTGGTTTTGGCAGAAAGTGCAGTGAAATGAGCATATTCACAACTAATGGTGCTGTCAAGGCAAGTCAGACACTTGTAATGATGAAGCAGCAGAGCATCAATTCGTAGCATAAGATCCATTTCTGATCCAGGGAAATAAACAGGCAGATTGTATTTAAAATAATACCGATATGTGCTGTAGGCTCGGCACTATATCACATTACTATACATATAGCATTCTGTTAATGGCGTTAGAAGAGACATGCTGTATATAGAAATCTTTGTCTTGTGTGTTCGAGGACTGAGAAACATGGTTGGATTTATAAACTTTTCAAATAATAACAACAACGTCCTTGGAATTCTGAGTGCCTAAATATCTCAGATACGAATTCCGGAGTCTTAAAGGTATTCTTGTTAAGAAACGACAGTCACTAACAAGCCCCAGATTCACACAGATGGTGACTACTACATTAAAAGCTTTACCAATATATTCAGCTGAGTAAGTCTCTGGGCACCAGACAGGAACTTAACAGGGTTCTGTAGTTCATTAAGGGCAAAGCGACCCTCATACTAACTGGCTTCCACACCTCCGCACCACATGGGAATCGATCCACTCAAGAATGACAGAGAACAACATTAAAGGAAGACATGACAGCACCAGGAACTTTTTAATCAAGTAAAGCAATTTAATGATGTCGTTGTGGCTGCATCATCACAAGCACAATGCTGAAGGCAATTTTAAATAAACGGAGCTATTAAGTGAGGATTGCAAATGTAGCACCCACTGTAGTGCGGAAAGCAAAGGGTCTTTTCCAAGCCATGGAAAAGTTTAATCTCAGGTGGATCTCAGGAACGTTTTGTACGTTTAGAGGCTGTCGACATACTTTGATAACATGACTGTGAAGGGCTCTGAGTCTCCAGCTATGCTGGGATGAGCTGCACCCCCTTTGCTTGACTGAGTTCAAACTGCAGCTGCAGTGCAGGGTCTGTACATCTGTGTCTCCTGTGATGCTGTGGATGAATAAGGCATATGAAGAGAGCCTGCATCTATCTCTACATTCCCAGAGATTTCTGAAATGGTGCTGGAATGTCTATTAAGCATGCACCTGTGTTTGAACATACTGAGTTTCTTATGCTTCTTACTTGGTGAGACGTTTGGCTTAAGAGAGCAACTCATGCAGGAAGACACCATCACAACCTCAGAATAATCCCAGTCTTTCCCAAACAGACTCCCCACGCCAATACACAAACATGCATTTACACACAGATACAAACATACACCTGCAGTACATTCACACAAACACACACACAAACATGCATGTACACACAAACACTCACACATAGACACAAAAGCACACAAACATGGACATATACACACTCGTACATACATGTACACACACAACCATGCCCTCACACATATGTGTACACATAAGTATGCAAGTACACACGCGTGCACACATTCACTCACACATGCATGTACTCACACACAAAAAACATGCATGTACACATCCATAAAATCACACAAACTCATAAATATCCTTGTATCCTTTTACACACTCATATACAGTATATACATATTCTCTCACACACTAAAATGCATGTATACACTCATAAATTCTCGTGCACTTAAATATCCTTGTACATACAGTACTCATATATATGCATATTCTTTCATACACAAACATGCATGTACACCCACATGCACACATACTGTACATTTACATACCCAGAGACACAAAAATTTAGCTGCACATAATCAAACAGGCATGTACAGAAACACACAAGCATGCACACACAGAGACACGTGCACACTAGGACAGTACACGCTGTACAACACAGTGAAATCTGTTTTTCAAATGCAGCAGCATGCAGCTCCGCCCCCAGTACCCACTCTTCCTTTCCTAACAGATGTGTAATGTTTTTATACACGGCTCTTGGCATCCATGAGGCCAACAGAAGGGAATTGCATGCAGCACATAGCGAAAGCGCACAGGGCAGTGTTCAGGCCATCCTCCTCCACAGCTCTAGCTTGTGTCTGCTGAAACAGAGACAGAAAGACTGATGTCAGACACGTCACAACACACAGCCTTCCTCCTTCCCGAGAAGGAACAGCCGCCGTCAGGAGCCCAGGTCAAATTTGCACAGGATGGAGGATCCTGGTGGTGATTTAAGCCAGGCTTGTGTAACAGTTTTGGACAGACAGTCAGTGCGTGTGGGATTTGTGTAACACATGAGGAAAACTATCGTGTTAGATTTAAGGCTCAATATTCCACTGGGATGCTATTTGACCATTAATCCAAAACACAAGATCAGGACAACCTCCTACATTAAGAAAGTCATTCATTCAGAAATAATTCCCTACATTCCTACAGAACTCTTCATATCAAAGAACCCCAAACACTGCACATACAGGAGTGGATCCACTTCATCCACCACTGGGGTGCAACCCCATGTCCCAGAATCATGTGGCCCCTGGATGACACGCAGCAGCCCCACAGCACTTCCCAGAGATCTCTGAAATGGTGTAGGAATGTCTATTAAACATGTGCCTGTGTTTGAACATACTGAGTTTCTCATCCTTCTTGTGTCTCTTACTCAGTGAGCAGTTTGGCCTAAGAAAGCAACTCATGCAGGAAGGCACCATCAAAACCTCAGAAGAGTCCCAGTCAGGGGAATCAGAACAGATCAGGGGCAGGAGAGAGAAACTTGAATTAAAGGGGAGCTTTAGGGAGGCCAGACATTACAAGCCGAGAGAGGAAATTAGCCCGGTCGATGGAGTCGACAGCCCTGCCATCACAAATTTGGCTAATGAATTGAAATTCTCATTCAAAGAAGGCAGCACAATGTCCCTGAGCTTGGTCACCACACTGGGGCGTTGGCTTGGGAATTTTGGTCAGAGGAAAGAGCGCCACCTACTGGTCCACCAGCATCACTTACAGCAGCCAGCTGGTTCTGAACAGGAAGGGGACGCAGGACAGTGGTGTGCACTCCTACGCCCGCCTCTGTGGTGTCTCTTCCCTGGAACTAACACACCAAGCTGCGGACACCCATGTGAACGGTACCCCAGGGGTTCTCACCTTCCCCCGAGACAGCATCTTCGACATCCTCCCCCGCAGCCTGGGTCTTCTTGCTCAGATGACGCACCACAGCCGTGGCGTGGAAGGCTCTCTGCGGAGAAAAACACAGGCCGTGGCAGAAGAGCAGGTCTTAAAAGACGACTTAAAAGAGCAGCTAAACCGCCTTGCCTGCAGCTCGGTCCCCCCGGGTCCCTTGGTCCTGGCAATGAAGCAGTCAAGCTTTTATCCTGCACCTGACGTGACTCAAACTAGACGTCCCAGCTTTCACACAGCGGTCAGAGGGGGGTGGAGGCTGCTGCGAGTTCAGCTACAGTTCACATCCCTCCCCCGGGTCATTTTGAGGGCATCCGGCTGGAAAGGTTCTGACCACTAGGTGGCACTAGAATCTCGTGAGCAGATTCAAGGGGAGTCCATGAGTGAGAACAGCTGTCGGATACAGAGGACAGGCCCTTGGCCAGTCCACCTGTCCCAGAGACTGGACAATAGCTGTGTGCACCAGCACAAACAGGCCCCGACCACCTTCAACCCCCAAAAAGCAGAGCACGTCCCAGCAGCGCGTGAGCCGGGAGAGCCACCGAAGACATCCGTCCAGGGGGCTGGCCGGCCAGCGACAGCCCCGGCAAACGCGCTCTCACCTTCCACTGGCTCCTGGCAAAGTTCTTCTGGATCTGCTCGCTGACGGACTCGTGGATGTTCTTCTCCAGAGCCGCGCTGCCGGAGATCCTGCGGGACAGCAAGAGTGCAGCTCACTCCGGGAGCGCCGGCCGCGGCTCAGCCCGGTGGAGCCAGGGCAGACGCACCGCAAAGCCTGCAGAGGTGCAGCATGGGCACAGCGCATGGGGGGCCAGCGGGCATGCAGGACGCCGGACTGGGAAAACCACAGGCACTCACACTGTGCTGCCGGAGCGCCCTGCTGCTGGCGCCGGCGCCTGTGGTGACTTCCTCTCGGGGCAGATCTGCCTCCTGCTGCCTCACGGACTTTGAAACACACGTTTGAGAGGCCTGGCAGCAGCCAGGTTCACTCCCACCACCGCGGTCCTATCTCCTCCCCAATTTCTGGCCTCATTTCCTGAATAAAAAACCTCTAAATGCTGTACGTCAGCCCTTCTACGTCTGCACTGCGCCTAAACACTCACTAAAACATCCTCAGAGGCGGCATCTGGTTTTTGGGAGCTGTTATTCCAAGCGAACCAGAATGTGGCATGCCCTGAATATTCAATATAAATATTGAAGAACCTCCTGCAGGTCTTTTTTAAAAATAGAAACGCACACTTCTGCATTCAACGGTACTTCTGCATTCACTGTGGAGCAGCAGAGGGCGGAAAGGCCCGGTGAAGTCGTGGCAACAGTATGGCAAAGCCAAGAGACGAGCATTAGAGGAGGCCTCTGGGTAAAGCCCAGGAAACGCATGGTGTGAACAGAGGGAGACGGCATGGGGCGGGGGGTTTGGGGGGCGTTACCATGGGTGCCTCAGTGCCTGCTCACAGGTGAAGCGCTTCTCGGGGTCTCTCTGCAGCAGGTGCGAGATGAAGTCTTTGGCTGTGTAGCAACACACACAAAAGAAGGCTCATGACAACGACAGCAACAATAACCCCTTGCAATGCTATAGCTTTCCCAATTCCAAATATGTCGCAATTCCAAAATCTGAAAAAATCTGAGTCTGTTGCTGACACAAGCGAAACCCAGAAGCGGGTTTGTCTCACAGCATCAATCCGAGCTCCTGGTCTGTAGCGAGGGAAAAGACACTCGTTCCAGGTTCCAGGCTCTCAGAACGACATCCTTATTAATTGCTCTTCAGGAAACTGCCCGGCTCAGCCTCCTGCTCGCTCTGTGAATCATTGCTCAAGGGCTGCGGCAGTTCTGTCCATTTAAAACCGCGCGCTTAGCGATAAACATGCAGGCCATCTCATGGCCGAGGAAACGATTCCCTCTCTACAGCGGCCTGATCCGCTTCGGGTTTTACAAGCTGCTGAACCGTGCACAAGCTAAGATCTTGCAAAATAGCAGAGAGGCAAAATATTTACTTTATTTCCATTCATCTAGCCTAAGCAGATGTCATCAAAATAAGTAAACATTTAAAACTTTGTCTGCTGTATAACTGGAGTCTTTTACCCCAAACTGTATGTACAGTAGTTCAGCTCTGTCTCCCCTATTTACATGAAGCACGTACTTCAGAGGAAACTGCTTGGAAAAGTGTTTAAACCTTTTATTATCTCCCTCTCACTTCTCCTCTTTCTCTACTCGATATCCCACCACAGTGATGGGATTTTCTGAAGGGGAAAAAACAAGCAACAGCTTGATTGAGCCTAGCACATACAAAATGTTCATTTTACAGAGTCTTTATAGACACAAATATAAGGGATTTGGCTCATTTTGCATGCCAGGAAACCTAATTCAGACGTGGGAGGATGAAGGTTTTAGCAAATTGCCTTGATTAGATAATTCATCAGCTGATTGGTTAATTGAGTGCAAATCCAAATCCAAATTCCAAAGGTATGAGGATGACAGGGATGCCCAATTATAGTCCTGCAGAGCAGGCATGCCTGAGGAGTTTCCAGGTCTATATAAAACAGAAGAAACTGAAGAACTGGGTGACGCTGTGAAACTGGTCCAACTGAGCAATTCATGAGCTGATCAGGCCATTAGGAGCTCAGCTGGGCTCAAAACCTGAACACGAACCTGCTTTCAGGACCAGGAGTGGAGATCCTTCCATTGTATTTTGAGCAGGCAAACCCAGACTAACACATTTACAGTAAGCCCTAGCATCTGCCCTTTTCTTTTGGAAAGTACTTGAAGAGAACGGGGGTCAGTCCAGAAGGAATGCCATGGGGAACATAAGACACAGTGACCTCCGGCACCTGATTCTGAAATATCGTCCCAGTAGGGGGAGTCGAACTCGTACTCCGCCTTCACAATCTGCTGGTAGAGCTTGGTGTCATTCTCGTCGTAAAAGGGAGGGTAGCCACAGAGCCTGTAAGGAAACAGACAGTCAGCTGCTGTGTGTGCTCTGTGCTTCCCACTCTTACCTGCACATCTGCTTTCAAATCAAGCCACCTGCATTTCCCTCATTTCCCTCTTCATGCAATCATTCTACCTTGGACTGAGGAGCTGTGAAAACTGATAAGTGACAAATACTCATCTGGAGTGATGTCACTAGAATTGCACCCCAGGGATCTGAGTAAGGACTACTATTCCAAATTTCTATCAATGATCTGCATTCTAGTGTAGCTTGTAAACTAGCAAACGCTGTGGTGCCTTAAGTGGGACTTCAATCTGAGCACACACATGGCAGGTAACCAAAACTATAGACATAAAATGCAAAACGCTGAGCTTGATGAAGCTCCCAAATAAAGGCTGAGGTGTGAGTCATGTTTTACATCTGTCTGGCAACGTGGAGAAGTAATAAAAAATGAAATAAAACCAGAGTGTTAGGATACATAATACACACATACTGTCAATACACTGTACACTGGCCAACAACCACAACAACAATAATAAAGGTTTTTTCTTTTTTTCTAGTAAAATTAGTGACCTGAAAGGCTTTGTTAAATCAAGTTTATTTCTTTGTCTAACTTTGATGAACTAACTCACTTAATAACTTTGATAAAGTGCATCCTGATTGCCTCATTAAAGCTATGAGAGTCGATCAGGGGCCGAGTGAAACCTAGTCTGCTGCCCCAACCCTTCTCTTCTGTCTCACTGCGCAGCAACACGGGCTTCAACCTGCTAAAGGGCAGCCGGACCCTCCTGACGAACTGACCAGAAGATCAGAAGATCGGACTCTTACAGGATATAGGAGATGACCCCGACCGCCCACAGGTCCACTTCCTTCCCGTAGGTCTTCTGCTCCAGCAGCTCAGGAGCTGCGAACACAGGGCCAGAGGTCAGCAGAGGTCACGGCACAATGCAGAATGCCCATGATGCTCAGTCGATGGGAAACGATGCTAACGATGCTGACGATGCTGACAATGCGCGTGCGTGCACCCAGAGCTCTCAGGCTCTGACAGATAGCGTCTGCAGTGCTGTGGGCCTGCCCGTCTGTGCACTGACCCAATCGATAAGGGTGACCACGGCACCCTGAAGACAACATGACAGATCGGCAGCTCGTGCACCGTGCTGCCAATGAGCAAGACGGAGCCATCCACCCTCGGGACAGATCAGAGAATATCGAATACCCGGAGAGAACACACCCCGCGGGCCCCCCAGGAGAACATTCCTCACCCACGTAGGCTGGGGTCCCACAGGCTGTGGACAGTGCTCCCTGCTCCTCCATCTTGGAGAGGCCGAAATCGCTGATGACGATCTTGGAGTCCTCGAAGGGGGTGTCATACAGCAGGTTCTCTGGCTGCAGGGAGGGGGGACAGAGAGGGAGACAGAGTGGGCCTGATTCTACCTCTCCCACAGTGCCTCGGTTCGCCAGGCATTTCGTCTGGTTGCGGTTTAGTCTGTGCCCTCGCCCTTACCCTCACCCTCACCCTCGTCCTGCATGCGCCAAAGGGAGCTTTCAGATCCTCAAAGCCCAGAGAGCTGGCAATGTGACCGTGGCGGTTCCGAGCGGGCTTGGGCCCTCGCCACTCCACCCCGCCGGTTCGTCCCGCAACACCTGGGGCATGAACCCGGGTCTCTGGCGTAACGCAACAGGGAACCAGCCGAGTAAGCGAAAGGAGACCCCCCCCAGCCCGGGCGGCTGAGGTCCCTGCTACGCGCAGGGAGGGCGATGACGTCACCGTGTCCGAACTTGCTCTGCTACAGCAGCACAGCACAGTTAGACCAGTTCGGGCAGTGGTTAGGATTTCCAGAGACGGGAAAGCCAGATGGTGCTGTCCGAGACCTGGGGTGAGGACCACCTCTCAGGATTCATCCATCCATGCATTTCCTAAGTGCTTTATCCAATACAGGGTCGCCAGGGAGCTGGAGCCTATCCCAGCAAGCAACAGGCAGGAGGCAGGATGGCAGCCCATCGCGGGGCAGATGCAACACCAGCTCAAACCACGGCCAATTTACCCAGAAGCCCACTAACCTACCAGCACGTCTTCGGACTGTGGGAGAACAAACGGGAGAACAGGAGCACCCAGAGGAATCTCCCGTGAGCCCAGGGCCCCAGCAACACCAGCGAAGGTGCCACTGTGACCCCCTTCCCCAGATTCAGCTGCGCTGGAATTATTTCAGCTTTTCACACCCAGACTGTGTGCTAGGTTCAAAACCGCTCATCTTTGAACAGCAACTCAGTGATGTGAAGGGGGGGTGTTACCGCAGAAGGAGGGGGGGTGTTACCTCACTCTGTCGGTGGTCCCGAGCTGCTCTCGTACCTTGAGATCCCTGTGCACGATGCCCAGCTCATGGAGGTACTGCACTGCGTCCAGCACCTGCCGAATGACGTGGCTGGCATCTCTCTCGGTGTACATCCCTCTCTCCAGGATTCGGTCCAGCAGCTCTCCCCCAGTAACCCTGGACACCAGACACACAGGGAAACCAGGATCTTCAAAGCCCTGTCCAATAGGCGTTGTACACGACACACACGTCGCCTGGGCAACAGGGGGCTCAAAGAGAGTCGGTGAGACTTTCTAGTTGAAGGAACAGCCCAGGGTTTGAGCACACCAGACTTGGTTCCTGCCGAACATGTCAGCCCAAGGTCACGAGTGGCTCACCCAGTAAAAACAGAAGCCACACCGCCATCGCCAGGTTCGAGCCCCGGCTATGCCTATTGGCGACTGTGAGCAGGGTCCCCCAAGCCCTGCTGGGGCCGGGGGTCCCTGTGAGCCAGCAGCACTGTCAATCAAATCTGCGCCGTTCCTCCAACGCCTGCTGACCCTGCTGTGGACGCTCGGGGGCCGGCAGGTTGAGAAATGGAGACTGGAAGGGGCTCAAAACTTGGCCACCTCCCCTGCCCGAGTATAAGAGTCCAGCGAGCTGACTCGCTGGCGTATTTCACTTTCGCCAGCTCTGCCCGCCCTGCAGCTCCCCGGCTCGCCCCTCGTTCAAGAGAGAGGAGGGGGGCGCTAACAGGCCCCTCCACCGTCATTGTGCTCAGGCAGGGGAGTGGCCCCAACAGGGCTGGCCCTTGGAATCGCCCCTCTTCTGAGCCTTAATTAGGCCAGGAGTAGGGGCCACTCTCCCGCTCCCCGCTGCCCTTCAGAGAGCTGCAGGGCTGAGGCTGTGACTGGGGGGGCGCAGGAATGATAGCGGGCGATCCCTAGCAGCAAAGCTGGCTCAGTCCAACTCAGGGGGGAATAAGAACTGGGTTTTCATGCAAGGGGGCTGCCCAGACGTTCCAGAGGAGGGGTGCGTGGTGCTCACAGAGTCATGACCAGGTACAGCTGGGAGGGCGTCTCGAAGATGTCCTCCAGGGCCACGATGTTCCCGTGCTGGATTCTGCAGAAACAGGGGAAGAGGCACAAAGAAGGCAGGAAGGTTGACAACGGAGTTAGCAGAATTCCCGAGGCCCCCGGACATTTTGAATTAATATACACCCAGCTCCCCAGCACCAGTCCTTCCGCGGTGACGAGGCAGTGCAGCCTGATCGATTATTGATTATTGTTGCCTTAGCAGTCTGTTTTGTCCTACTCCTCATGCTCCCAGGTGGGTCTGTTTTAGGGGACCCCTCTTCAAGTGATGACTCTCAGGAAACAGCACACTACTTCAAGATCTTAAACAGTTCCGTTATTCAGCCATAGAATATTTATTCATTTTAAATATTATGTATTGATTGTAATATACAGTACTAGGAAGAGAACCTTGGGTCAACAGATCCACTGGGTACACGTCAGTGGAGAACCGAGAACAGGAGCTACATCTTTACGCACAGGGTTGTGGGAGTCTGGAACAAACTGCCCAGCCATTTTGTTGAAGCCGATATCCAGGCTTTTTACAAGAAAAAGCTGCATGAGATCCTGGTGTAGATAAGCTACCAATTACCAGATGGTAGTTGACCAGACGGTAGTTTGTGTGGTAGCAGGATGTAACGGAAGATGTTTGTAACTTGTCTTACGAGCTCTGAGAGCAAGCAAAAGCAATCTGAAGGAGAGGGGAACTGTGGGAGATCCTGAGAGATGCCAAGAGACAATAATAACAATTTGGCCCTGTTTCGTTACAGGAATTAAAATAGAGAACAGAGAGAATAGGGTTAAATGGGATAAAGAGAGAGAAGAGGTTGAACAGGAAGGAGAGGGTTCAAGGAATAGAGAAATAAGGATAGGATGGAGAAAAATATATCGCTCATACCATTCATACAGACTATAGCTAATGTGTTAACTTTATACCATCTGCACAGCAGGGCCACCTGGTTGTTTCTACAATGTCATTCCGATGTCGTTCTACCGCGCCAGCGAAGCGCCGTGAGCCGAGAGGAAACAAGAATGTACTGACTTGCGCAGCACCGCGATCTCATTCTCCAGCATAGCTTCCTTGCCCTTTAGCGCCCTCTTCTGGATGCACTTGATGGCCACCAGCTTCTGAGAGCTCTTGTCCTGAGCCAGCCGCACCTCTGAGAAGGAGCCTCTGGAAGAATAATAATATTATCATTATTATATGATTTTATATAGCTCCTTTAAAAGTATCTTCCCAGAGCACTTTACATGAAAAGTAAAAAATACACTGGTAAAAACATAAGAAAACAGCATAAAATGACCTCAAAAGAAACGCAAGGGATTAGAAATCTAGGAGATGCAACCATTGTTGGCAGGGAGTTTTAAACACCAAGAGGGAATCTCTTCCACCTGTCATCGTCCAGGGGGTGGCAGGGCTGTCTGAGTCACAGCCTGGGGACGATCACTCGGCTGGACAGATTCCCGTTGGACCGAACCGGCCGTTCAACGGGCTGCCTCAGCCTGCACACGGCCCTGCTGCCCGTGGGGGCGGCGCGACCCGCAGATCGCCACACGGCGGCAGGAAGGGCACTCACTCCCCCAGCTTCTCCTTCAGGTCGTAAACAGCAGAGATGTCCTCCATCGTCTTCCCGTGCTCTGTGATGAGGGGCATCTTCTGGCCGTGGGGCTGTGGCGCGAGCAGACACCTGCAGAAGACACGGGAGGAAGCGTGATGGAACATCAGGAGGAGCCGAGTCTTTCCAGACACACGGTGGGCATAGAGTAGGGCCGACCTCTTACCTCTGAGTTTAGAGTCCCTTTAAAGTCTCATCCAAAGGAAGAGCAGCAAGTTTGGAAATTCGGGTCCAGTGGGAAGAGAGCCACCTACTGGTCCACAAATAACAATCTCATTAGCAGCCTGGCTTTCCTAACAGTACTGACCAGACCCAGCCTGGCCTGCCATCGCTTTAAGAACAGCATGAACCTACTTCTCTCTTTGCTTACAAGCGGCACATGTATGAAAAACTGGTGTGCATGATTCTCTCCTCATCTGCCTGCTGAGATAGCAGCCATTTGCCATGGTAACTAGCTAGAAAAAAAGAGCTCTTGCGTAGATCTCATGAAGACTGTAGTACAGAGCCCTGCCTCATGAAAATGAGCACTCCAAACTCCATCGTTCAGCTTCAAAACCAAACCATGCATGCACCTATAAACCTGAGCGTATGCGTCAGGCCCTGCGGGCCCGGAAAGTTGAATTATAATACTCGTTCTGCAATAATAATGATTAACTCAAATTTGTACTCCTCATTTGAAGTAGGAATTCAAACCACTTTACAAAAAACACTTTTACACTTCCCTGTAATAAAAAACCTGCAAAGCTCTGCGCTGAGCAGTACAGATCAAGATGCTTAGCTAAACACAAAGCAAAGTGTTGTTTTAAGGCTAGTTCTGCAGATAAAACTGAACTGGATGGTGCCTAGTAACAGAGCTATTTGTCATTATCTGTGAAAATAATCAGAAGGAGAAAACCAACATGTCCAACATCGTTGTGCAAGGAAGTGCGTTAGGCAAACTGAGACAAGGTGTACTGAAGCCTGTGTGCCACTAATATATGTCCCCCACTTCCTTCCTTGACCAGGTGACCAGATATCTCCAGGTCCACCCCGGTCCAGCATGTTTCATGTTACCAGTGAATCATTAATTCTGAAAAGCTCTGAAAAATTTAAAGATATTCTTTGAATTCTTTATATAATTTACAGTTTATTTAATACCGAAATCTTCTTCTTCAAGGATAAGAGTTTCCTTAATGGACCAAACTGCTTACTTAATCATTTTGGTAAATTAAAGTGTCCCCAGTCTTTAAAACAGAGTGATTTAGAGTGACCGATTGTCCGGGATCCGGGATTTAGACCATCATTTTCGAGGAGAGCCGTCAAGAAGGACTTTAACTGGCACAGAAAAATACCTACGCAGAAATGACTCAAATGGAATTGTTAAGATCATGAAGGCATGGAGCGTCTTTAAGTTTCGAAAGCCCAGCCAGCCACGCAGACGGACTGGGGTGGGGGTGGGGGTGACACTACAGGACGTGTCAGAAAGGACTGACTTTTTTCCAGCTCCACCTGCAGTCCAGCGCAGAGTGACTGCAGAGCCAAGAGAGCGCGGAGTGTGTCAGGCCCGCATGGCCATCGCAGCTCAATTCAGTCCCATTCAAAGAGCTCGATTACAGTGCTGCCAAACCGGCAGCAATTTACTAGAGATTTTTAATCATAATATGTAACAGTTTGAGTGCAGCAGGAGACACACGGTTTCCCCTCAACACCACGTCAGTAAGGCTGCAGGAGCCACACCAGCGCTAGTGACACACGGTTACTGTGCAAAGCCACTGTGTGTCCTTTATTATGGCTGAGACTGAGCTTATTCCTCACTCTGGAATACTCTGGCTCGCTCAGATATCCATTCTGGTGCTACTGCGTATAAAGCAGTCTCTTTACACGGGCTGGTGGTCAAGGAAATACCCCCCTCACACTGTAAGAAACACCCCATGTCATAATGGCCTTCCCCTTTGTCTACGCCAATGAAGACCCCTCACTGTCCGAGTCAGAGCCTTTAGAGTACATGGGGGTGCTGACTGGTGGTTGAGCTGCCACTCCTGGGGTCTCCTCCCCTAACTATCAGCATCGCCCAGATTGCTCCAGTGCAGGAACTGGAGCTGGAGCGTTTGATCAATGCCTTCTAGACTTCCCATTCCCCCTGCCTCCAGATTCCAAAGCTCTGCTTGGTTCCTCTGCAGCAGACCTGGCATCATATTGGTTTATCGACTGCATGATGTCCAGTCCCTGCCTCACGTCCACGTAAGACGCATCATAAACTGTATATACACAAGCACACAAATGTGTTTTGCACGTACAGTATAGGATGGAATTATTACCATTGAAGGTGCAAAGAGGGGTGTTTAAGTTCCACCCCGGTACCACGATTCCAAAACTTCCTGCAACTCTCTCTCAGCTCGAGCCTCATTCTCTCAAACCCTCAGGATGGGACCCGCCAGTAACCTGCCGTGCAAATCAGCAGAGACTGAGGCAGCAGTGACCGAATGGGCAAGCCACCTCCAGCACAGAAATGCACCCTATACCTCACTCCTCCAGCTCATCAAAAATCAATCTGAAACAGTTTACTGTACCTGTTGAGTGTTGAGACGGCGAAATCCCTCCTGCGTGTGAGCTCAGCGCTCTCTGCAATGGCTTGCTGTTCCCAGCCCCTCTCTTCCTTCCCCCCACCTTCCTTTCTCTCTCACCATTCTTTAATTGAAAATCACATTCTTTCAGTAGCGACCTTGCCCACCCACACATATACAAGAAGCAAGCTGACTTTTTAAAGAGACACCAGGCACGGAGAGGCAGGGACTGAGGCAGCACACACAGGAAAACACACACACACAGGCACATGGGCACGCTGACACACACGCGCATAGACACACAGGCACGCTGACACACACGTGCGCAAGACACAGGCACAGAGGCGCATTGACACACACGGAAAACGACACACAAGCACACAGAAGCACTGACACACACGCAAACACACACACACAGGCACACAGATGCACTGACACACACGCAGTCACACACGCAGGCACATGCAAGCGAGCCTGCAGAGCATCACTCTGAGCTGTTCACTGCCGTCACCCTCTGCGAGCAGTTTCCAGGCAAGTGCTTTGATGCCAGAACCAACAGGAGCAACCTTGAAACCGTTCCAGGCTCTGTCTGCCTAAGAATCGATGCTGCATATGCCCTGGTTTCAAAAAATGCTATTATATAACTCAGGCAAAGGACAAAGGACTCGACACAAATGCATGTGCAAATTCTGCTTTGGGTCCATCAGATCCTGAAGTAGAGTCTGGACACTGTGTCTCTGGGCTGGAAAGAGCGAACTTCAGTAGGTCCAGAATCCTGACCAGGTCTTGTGCAAGTGATCACATTACTTTTCAGCTCAGACTTAACCTGGACTTGTCCTGCCTCAGCCCCAAAGCCTGACTTCTTCAGTTACCACAGTGTGCTTCAGTCCTTTCCTGATCTAGGCTGAAGGTTCACTGCTCCCCTTGCTGGACACATGTTCGTAGTCAATTACTCACTGTGCAGTGCTGAGGGACATGACAGGCTCTTCTATTATGGCTTCACCTCTCTGTCTCCTGGCCTAAGCATGCAGTGCAGGAGCAGACTCACCCAGAATCTCTGCACACAGGACACTTGGGATACGAAACTGCAGCCTTTAGCATAGACTCCAGAGGGGGAGAGTGGGTTAAAAGCCTCACAAGCTGCACACAGTCTTGAGCTATCTTCAGCCCCTTAGATGATGAAGAGCAGAATTTTCTGTTTGATTTTATAGGACGTCTCTTTTCTGGGTGGCAGGACGATTCAGTGTGACTTTGCCTGCTGGTCTGGTGGGTGAGCGCAATCCAGGCCGTCCAGGGAGAGAAGGGTGTCACGGACGTGCACACACATGACAATCCCAGCTCTCGCCAAAGCAGTCGTGACTTCTCACCTGCAGAGCTGCACAGCACAGCTGCTGAGACCACTGCGCTAAAGGCCAAGTCTCAGTCACCAGAGACGTCAGCACCAACCAGGGCCCCAGGAGGTGATGTCTCCCTCAGCAGGAGCCGCAGTGTCAAGTGAGCTCTAGGTCACACACACACACCTGACAGAACCTGGGTCTTAAAACAACAAACCCTATCGACACACCATGTTTGAGCCACACTGCTGTTTGAGCCACAGCAGAGATAATGGAACTGCAGCAAAATGCTTTGCATGAAGCAGAGCAGGCACAAACACACACAGGTATCAGATATATACTGGATATGTATGTATTGTATATGAGAGCAGACGCAAACACACCTGTTTCAGGGGCACGTTAGTCCTGTGATCCACTTGGGACCAGATGGCTGTGCAGACGTTTGGGATGTTGCAGAGGAGTAGTGTAGGAAAATCTGAATAACTCTGCTGTGTCCATTGTCCACTGCAGGGCTGTGTGTACTTAAATGAGAGCTGCCTTTATTGCCGGAATGATAGCACCTCCTGTCCTGGGGTTCGGCTGGATCATTCACACCACGAGCAAGCGGCAGCAGGGCCTGATTATCCAATAGGCACACCCGGCCCAGTGCAGGGAGCCTACAAACACAAAAGGCCAATGAAACAATTCTCGAGCGTGTATTTTCGATCTGTATGATAAAAATGGTACACAAAGATCTCTACTTGAATGTAAGAATATATAACCAGGGTAGGCTGCCTGAAAAAAATATTCAAGGTCATTTTGATCTTCTCTATGTAGAACCTGATTCAGCCACAACAGTGCCTCCAGTGCAGGGCTGTGGAACAGAAGTGCCCACAGCCTCCAGGAAGCCTAGTCCAGCCCTGGGCTGCAGAGCCTCCCCAGTTAAACGAGCAATTCGACTGAGTGAATGGAAGGAGGCTGCGGGCAGCGCAGTGCAGCGCCTGTACGCGCGCGACACTCCCCCGGCTCCGCCAGCGCGCTGTTTACAGACCTGCCCCCTCCTGCACAGTGTCAGCGCTGCCCGCGCTCTCCTTGTAAGGCGAGGGGCCAGCTCACCCGAGAGAGCCTCCCCTCTTTCCTGTTTCCACTCCTGGCACCAGGGAAGTCAAACAAAGACTAATCCCCCCCGCGTCAGCCTGCAGCCTGCCGGGGGCCCCGCGGCTCGGCCCCTCAGCCCTGTGTGGAAGAGCAGCTGCAGCAGGGAAGGAGACCAGCGGGGACGAGGGTCTGCAGCGGCCCCCAGCTCCAGCCTGTTAATGAGCGCGAGCCCCGCGTGTGGGCCAGTATCCCAGGGTTCGGGCACACCACTGTGGACCTGGGGGAGACGCCAGCTCTGCTTTGCAGGCGGTACCAGGCTCAGCCTGGCGTACAGTGCTTGGACTGACACTGAGAAGAGCCTTTGCAGTGATTCTGCAAACTGTCCACCCGAAGACGTCCTTCAGCGCTCAGCCTAGAGGACACAGATCGTTGCCCGGCGTGATGCAGGTTTCCTGCAGTTCAGTCCCTTCCTCCCCCTGACAGTGTCTGCTGCAGACTGGCCACCAGGTGGGACCAGCCCCTACTGCAAATGTATTTGTCCCACAATTGTATCCAAAGAGACTTACATTTGCACCCATTTATACAGTTGGGCATTTCACTGCAACAATTCAGGACTAGTACCTCGCTCAAGGGCACGACACCAGTGTCTCACCTGGGATTTGAACCCACAACCCTGACAGCTGTGTCACTTTGAGGACAGACAGAGTCCCAGTTCCTCGGGATGAGAACAGCTGGTCGCTATCGAGGAGGTGCTGGGGGTAAGAGCAGTCTCACAAGGAATACCAACAACCAGGGGTGAAGTGTAGGGAAACTTGTTTGTCCAGCGCTCAGCCACAGTACAACTGGCTCAATCTGCTTGGCTGGGGCTGCAGGACGAGGGGGCTGGAGCCCCCTGCGGAGGGAGGAGAGACGGGGTGAGAGGGGGAGCAGGAGGGATGCAGGAGACACATGCAAAGGAGAAAGGGGCACTAACGTAGTGTATTTATTGCTTATAGATAAGAAAAGATGTCAGGAATGATTATGATTTAGGAGAGCTGAAGGACAGCTGAGGCCAGTTGGATGTGGCTAGTGTCATCCCTCCTGAACTCTGAATTGTCAGTTCGACGTTTTGATCAAAGTGGTTCTTGCAATTGCCTTGATTGCTGAGGTGTCAATAATCGGATTAGACCTGCAGGGCTCAGTCCAACGCTGGTCTGAGATCAGGTGTCTTCACGGGTGCTAGTCCCAGCAGAGGGACACTGCAGGCGCATATTCTGTGCACCGCTAGGAAGGATGAACTAACACATCGCTGCCCCTGGCCATTTTACAGCTGGACAAACAGCCCCATCATTACTGCTGCAGGCTGGAACTCTTGTTACAGAAGGGTGCAGGAATCAGAAGTATAATTACCAATTTTAATGACTAGTTGCTCCGTCTTTAGCACATTACTGAAGCAGCAGGTGGATCGTACTGAGATTTGTCAGCTAGGGAAAAAAAACAGCCACAGTAACTGCTGAAGCCTGTGCCAGACAGTGGCAGACCTCCAGGCATTATTACAGTCATAAAGGACGGCTAATCTCCTGGCACCCAGCTGGGAATAAGAAAGGACAGAGGAGTGTGTTATCATTCACTTTTATTTAGCTAGTTTAGGCAGCGCCTTCAATCACTCTGACTAATAAGGTATACAGCAAGCGACTTACAGAAGTGGAATATTCACAGCGAGAGAAGCCCTGCAGGAGTTTATACAGTGATGGGGTGCCAACACTTGCTGACCACACACAACGCCTCCTACTGGAAAAGGCCATGTGCTTCCAAATGGGCTGCCGTCACACCTCACTCACAGAACCCCAACGCCTGGAAGCCCTGTGCTGGATTGCTCTTGGTGGCAGGTCAAGTAAACCCCGAACGCTCCCTGCTCAGGGTAACAGCTCGCTCTGTTTCTCAAGAGCTAATGGATCCGAGGACCTCTTCAAAGTAACCAGATCATCGGCGACAACTACATGGCTGGGTAGCTTGTTTCATACCCCCACAACCCTTTGTGTAAAGCTCCCCCCCCCCCGTTCTCAGATTTAAATGCACCTCCACAGTGATTGGACTTGGTTCCTTTTTCATTCTGGAGAAGTCTGCTGGATGGAATTTTAAGATGCAACTTTGAATCAGCCCCCCTGGCAGTTTTCTCTGTTCAAGACTAAGGAGATTTCATTATTAGCTTGGCATAAAGGCAATCACAGTACTAGGGGTCCTTAGTAGTTCAATCTATATGACTGCACATTCAGAGAGCAGGTTAGACTGCCATTGGATGGCGATGATGAGGACAGGGTTAGATTTGACCAGGGTATTCTCAGGTTGATTGATCACATGCAGCCCCTGGTAGCCAGTCAGGTGCTATGAGCCTGGAGAGAGCTGAGAGCTGAGAGCTGCACCTGTCAGCACCTCTGAAGCTCTCCCTCTGAGGGATTAAGACCTGGATGAGACGCAGATGTCTTTCTCTGGTCCAGATCCTGCAGGTGTTCTCCCGGATCACGACACTGGCCAGCTGTGGCTGGGATTCCCCCAAGCATCTCTACCTCGTAATTTTATGAGCACCTGTTTAATTCTAGCCCGAGGAACACTCTGTGTGGAGTTTGCATGTTGTCTCAGGGTCTACATGGATGTTCTCTGGGTGCTCCGGTTTCCTGCCACCTCCCAAAGATATGCAGGCTGGGTTACTTAGTGTCTTTAAATTCTGGGGGGACTCTTTAAATCCTTTGTGTCATTCTAATCTGCAGAGCATCCACACTCTGTAATTAATTATCCCATCCAGGGGGCAGTCCTGCCCTGTGCTCTGTGCTCCTGGGATGGGTTCAGGGATGTGCTGACCCTCACCAGGAAACAGCAGCTGAATGATGATGGAACCCCTCAGGAATCGCGGTTTTGTGATCATGTGCAACCGGCTCACTGTAAGGAAACATTGCAACGCATTAACAGACTGAGCATACAGCCTTAACAGCGAGCTAGACATATTTCAGGTGGGGAGCTGCGTCAGCATGCGTAGTCTGCAAAGGAACAAGTAACAGGTTTATTCCAGGCTGAAGAGAAGAGAGAAAACACAACGTTTCGGCTATGAAGCCTTCTTCAGGTGTGAGGGTTCTTCTTCAAGCTCACACCTGAAGAAGGCTTCGCAGCCGAAACGTTGTGTTTTCTCTCTTCTCTTCAGCAGGGAATAAACCTACTGTATTCATCCCGTGCTAGAAATACGCTCGCTGCAAAATGACGGTCTGCCGCTAGGGGGCAGCAAATTGAAAAGTGAAGAGCAGAAGCTGCTGTTTCTTCCAAGAACACCCACGCAGGCTCTCCGCGGCGCCGCTGCTGAAAGCCCCGCTGTCTCCTGCTCCCTGTTGCAGCTGAGCGCCCAGTTCTTTACACAGAAGCCTCCACTGAAATAATAATTTGCTTAACCAGACAGGGTGTTGTTGTTAAAGAATCACACGCAGCTGTTAAAATGCGGCACACTTCAAGGTAATGCAATTGCGGTCTATGCATTTTTTAAATAAATACTAACAGCATAAGGAAACGAGGGTGGTGCAGATGTAGCCATTCAAGATGCGCGGGATTGGAGCTCCAGGCGGCCGCGGCACGTGATTCGCCGGCCAAAGTGATCGACAGGTGGCGCTCGTGGTGCATTTTTTTTTGTGAGGTGCTTCTGTAACCAATAAAAAGTCTTTGTAAAGCCGTGTTTGCAGCTTGTATGTGCGTATTTTCTCTGATAAGCGGTGTCGGTGAGGCTACTGCTGAGCTATAGCGCTAGGCCGTTTCAAACGGTGAGGACGCCATGGTCCTTCTATGGGCGGCGGGGGTTTTTGTGAGCCGCCAGCTGGAACAGGTTGGGAACCTCTGGAACAGACACTTTTGCTTGGGTGATAGGAATTGAATTTTCAGTAGCATGCCCCCGTCTTGTCGTTGTTTGTCGCGCTTTAACATAAGGCAATCAGCAATCGATCACACAGCGTGATGCCGTATGGTTTTAAAACCGCTGCAGTACAGGTTGTGGGAAAGACATTTATGTGTACTGTATCAAAGTGAACCCCGGTCACAGCGCCCTACATTACAGAGTATTTCCCACAGCCCGTGCTGTGCATCACGCTGTATGCGTGTGGCACGTCTTGGTTCCAGTTTTAAAACTACAGTACGGAAAAACGAGTGTTTTAAAAAACAGGACGTTTGATTGCTGGTTGCCTTATGTTTCTTTCATAAACTATACCTAATTTTTAATTCGTTTAATATTTAACATGCTGTAATGCACAGCTGAAAATTAATACAAGTCTAAACAGAGTACAATTCTATAAAAGCAAAAAGATTGACCCTTAGCATTGAGCGGGATTCGAAACCAAGGCGTTTTCCAGCCACGGCCCAGATGCTCCACACGCCACGTTAAGCTTTCACTGCGCTACCTGGCGGTTTTACGAAGTAGTACATCCTGATAGCTGGATCTGTACGGTGACACAGCGGTGAGCACCGCTGAGGCCCTGGGTTCAATTCAGGACCTGAGTTTTTGTCTGTGTGGAGTTTGCATGTTCTCCCCATGGTTGTGTGGGTTTCCTCTGGGTGCTCCAGTTTCCTCCCGCGATCCAAGGACACGATGGTGGGTTGATGGGCTTCTGGTGTGTCTGTGTGCCCTGTGACGGACAGGCGTCTTGTGCCTGAATTGGAAAAAGTGGTAAGAAAATGCAGGGATAAGGAAACTACTGCTCCGGTGACGGTGACGTGAGCAATTCAGTTTCGGGCGAGCCTGCTGTGAGCTGGTCCTGACCTGCAGAGAGGCGAGAGCGCTTGTCTTTGCCACCCTCTCGCGAGCGCGCTGGACTGGAGGGCCCGACCTCTGCACGCGTGCCAGGCCATCGCCGCGCAGACAGAGGGACGCGCTGCCCACTTGTGGGGTTCACCCCCTCTCCTCCCTGGCACTGCCGCGCTGGAAGCCTGCGTGTGAGGCACCCAGGGCCATCATGCAAGCTGTCACTGCACTGATACTCTGGCAAAGTAAATAAATAGTGCTGAAGGTATTCTGAAAACAGATCGCCTCGTGTGCTGTGAACAGTTCCATGCCAGTAGTGAAACAGATCTGTTGCCTGTGCCGCCTATGTATAGCTCATGTAGGCAGGAGGAAAACAAGGGTATACACAGTAGTGAGTACAGCAGAACAGTCCAGTCCCGATCCTGGGGGGCCGGTTGCAGGTTTTCATTCCAACTCAGCTCTTCATGAGCTAAACCAGCTGGTTACTGGTTTTGCTGGACCAATTCAAACAGCTTCTCTCAGCTCTTCTGATGCTGCTGCTTTAAACAGACCCTCCTGCGGGCTACTACAATGAGCACTATGCAGCACCAGGACTACAGTAGATCCCCCTGGTAGGTGGTATATAGACTGTAGCTATAAGCGCTGTATCATACACCCATCAAAGAATCCTTCCTCCCGTTTGTTTTCCTCCAGAACGTCTGACCAGCTCACACATAACAGTGTCAGTGTTATCTGGTCCCCTTAAGACACAGAAAAAGGTTCATTCCTGAAGACAGCTCCTCAGCCGAAGCTGTGTGAATCTTTTCTTTACCTCTCGGCAGGGAAAGAACACTTCCCCATCCCTTTGCAGCTACTCTGAAACAGATCCCTGCTCGAATGTACATGTAACTTTATCGCCCATCCAAAAGAGTGGACATTTGCTATTGGTGTCACCATACAAAACTACATAGAAAGCTCTTTTTAAAAACTCTTAATAAGGAAATTATAATAATTCTTAATTTTCCTTGGCTTAAGTGGTGACAGAGATTCAAAGGTACCTACAAACCTACCCCAGGAAATATGAAGATTTGCATATAGGTAAGAAAAATGAAGGACAACATTTCAGCATAGGGCCCAGAGCACTAGGAACCAGACAGTGGGAAAAGAACCGAGGTCATAAATTCATCCATGCCAGGATTCATTCACTATATGCAATTACACAATGAAGTCAACCAGAGCATGAAGCTGCACAGTACAGACGGTAGAGTATACTGTAAATGAGGAGAGGTTCTGATGAGGTCTTCCGTATCCAGCTCAGTCATCACTTTATCAAAGAGCTCAAGAATCAATCCGGAGAGGAGCAGCAGGACTCAAGGAGGTGGGTCATGAGGATGGGAAAAAACTCAGTCTCTTCAGTCTCTTCAGCATTCTGGAGGGAGCTCGTAAGGTCGATCTCAGGATAACTGGAGCCTGTTAAAAGTCAAGTCAGCACTAGTATTAGAAAATATGCTTTTATACATAGCACTTTAAAGCACAGAAAGCATCACTGGGTCACATAGTGGAGGAGGAGACTCTGGGAGGCTTGGCTCTCCAGTAGAGACAGTGGTAATCATTTTGTCTCTTCTCTGGTACCATCTTATACCCTTTCCTACATCCTGACTCTGGTGACGAGGGCCTGAAGGACACATTTCCACTGCTGAACTGTGTAGCAGCACAGCAAGGACATACAGCAGACAAACAAAAAAAACAGGTAAGAACCCAAAACAGAGAAGGTGCCAGGATGTCCTGTGCTGGGAGGGTTTGCAGGGAATGTCCAGAAGCAAGAGGTCCGACTTGTGCTTGTCTTAATTTAGCCCAAGTGCCTCATCTGAAAAGGTCTCACGTTCCTCACACGCCGTTCAAAAATAAGACATCCTGGAAAACCTGTATCCCGGGAGGAACTCGTGACCTGGGCCAGTGGCCGTGATTGGAGGGGAGTCAGTCCAGGTATTTTTATTCCAGCAAACCTGGCGGGCTGATCGGGGCATGAAGTATCACATGCAGGAAACCAATATCATCGGCATGTGTGACAAACCTGAGGTCCATCCAGGATCGTAAGAAGCAGAGGCAGACCAGGCGGCTCCTGCCAGAGAACCGGCTCATCGGACAGATCCTCTGTGGAGGGGCATCTCCTTCACCTGGTGACCTGGGGAGCCTGGAACACAAGTGTGGCACACGCAGTGCCTGGCAGGGCTTTCAGTGCTCCAACCCTGTTCCTTCTGTACAGGCTGAGTGCAGAGGACAAGAGGCCAGCTGCCACTGCAGAGCCACTGACACAGGACTGGTTCCAGT